TAAGCCGTTAATCACTACTCATATCATACTGACTAAGAATTGACCAATCGTAGTCGAATATTTTTCTTACATTCAACTGTGATTGGTCAATTCTTACGATTTACGGCTTACGAACTGACATACGACGTATTGTAGACAACCCCTAAGTGATTCATTCGGCAGTCATTTATAACATCGATGAATCAATCTTATGATTGGCCATTTGCAAGTCCAATCAGGACTCGTAACACTGGTCGCGCTTCTCTGATAATCTAGGACTTTAGTCTGGTCTGCACCAGTGAGCCACCAGTGCACAGTGTAAAGCTGATGCAAATGGGTACAGTGCAGGGTTGAGTAGTTCCTAGTTAAAAAGATAAAAGTTAAAAAGTTAAATAATTTTAACTTAATTTAGTTACATTTTAGGTTCTTAAATTTTAACTTAATTTAGTTTATATTTTATCGGTAACTATTAACTTTTGATCTAACTTTGTTGAAGTTACATTTTTAGTGCTTCTTGTAAATCCAAAATAAAATACATATCTAAGTTAGTGTCATCAAACTTAAATTTGAGAACACACATCAAGGCAATTATAATAATATAATAAATATAGTCTGTCCGCGGAAAGGAATCACTGTTCGCAGACCTTCTGTGCGTTAAATCACGTTGGAAGAAGGCCTTCGAAATCGGTCCTCTTTCCGTGGCTCGACAGAAAAGTATAACAAATATATACTTTATTTAAAAACTTTATTTAGAAACCTTAAAATTATAAAATGAAAAAATTTAATTTTAACTTTTCAATTACTTTTTTTATTAACTTAACTTTTAACTCAATTAATTTTATTATGGACTAACTTGTATCTTAACTAACAAGGGAACGCAAAGTGTCAAATTCTAATTTTAATGAAACTTGGTACACTTTGAGGTCACATAAATAGATGAATTTAGAAGTTATCAGTTGGTGCTAAAAAACGGTTTAAAGGGATGAATTCACCCCTTATATAAATTAATTCTTTTTTTCTTTCGTTATATCTCGAAAATTATTCAAGATATCAAAAAATGTTTTATACAAAAGTTTTACTGTAAAATTACCTCTATTCATTTATGTTAATAGAATTTTTTTTAAATGATTTTCAAAAAACTTTTAAAATATAATTATTAAAAAAAA